TGACCACGTTTTTATCAGTTACTGTTGGCGAGGCTGCATAACGGACTCTAAGTCAATGTGGAACACTTAATTGACTTCGGATCATGCGCTTATGTGTACTAAAGTAGTTCTGCGCTTTAGAGGCACCCAACAACGTCGCCGGAAACGGTTTGACACTGACAAGCGCATCGCCTCAAATGTCCTCGGCGCATTTTAAAGCACATTAGACTCTAACCGACGTCCTCTATCCTCCGACGTTGAGACACGCTGGGCACAAATTCATAGCGCCTTAGGAACGTCCGCCAACTTGGTCTGTTGCTTCACTAGATGGGCTGCTAGTCACTGAACCTCCGCACGGTCTCTCCAATTAATGCAAAGCCGCCGAGCAATTCTCGCCGGAGCTGACTGCAACGCACTAGACAGATCGACTGGTGCTGAGCTCAGACAGCTTCTCAGGATGGATCGTGAGGTCTGGTGGACACAACGCGTCGTTGAGATGAAACGGGCGGCCTCCTCAGGAAACTCACGCAAACTCTTCCAACTTATTTGGTCTCCGGGAGGCAGAAGGCCAATAGTGAGTGAGGTACTGAGTGAAAATGACGGCAAACTGATTTACAGTCGTCACCACCGTCTGATACAATGGGAAGAGCACTTTGAAGATCAGTTCAAATGGCCACCAGCACAAACGAGTCCATCTTCCGGGATTCACAGTGCACCCTGATGAGTGTATGTTTCTCCACCGAATGAGACTGAGGTTTCTATGAGCTTCACCCGCTAAATCGCCACAAGTCACCCGGCCCAGATGAACTTCCTCCTGCTCTCTTCAAATATGGGGTCCTGCTCTCACACGTGAACTGATACCCTATTTTCCTCAAATTTGGACTCCTGAAACCATCCCATTCGAATGGAAAATAGCAGATATCGTACCTGTCTATAAAAAATGAGACCGGACCGTGGGGTCAGTCTCATTTGTGTTTCATCCAAACTGTTCGTTGCCCTACCCTTGTGAAGACTCAGTTGCATACGGTAACCGCACCTGAGCGACGAGCAAGCTGGGTTTCCTTCTAGTCGAAGTTGCGTCAAACACATATTTACGATCCGCTAGATACTTGAACACCGCCATACGTTCAGTCGACCAACCACAGTTGTTTGTAAGTAGTAGGGGGATTTAATAGGTTTCTCTGTAGGTTCGTCGCAGTTAGACACGGGCAGACAGCTGTCTGCCTGAGTCTCCAGGAGACAGTTGGTCGTCGCTGGAGGGGACGGAGTGCACCGTCCTCGTGACGGTGCTAAGCTAAAAGAGTGGTTCCATCCTGTGTGGAACGGGCTACGGTCCAGCCACCGCCTCGTGTACGTCTGGTGTGTATGATTTCCCAATTAGGCCGGAATCCTTCCGTTCTGCTTGTTGAAGGAGTGTGGGCCGGCTCCGTTGATGAAACGTGGTTCCCATCCGTATGGCTTCCGGTCTTATTCCTTCGGGTTTACACCGGATATGGGGTGTGTGGGTGGAACTATGGGTGGTGCAGCGCAAGCCACCCATGGTCACTATGTAGGCGCAGGCGTCCTGTGACTGTCAGTATGGACGTCACAGTGACAGGCAAATCCGGATACGGACGCCGCCAAATCATGTGTATGAACTTGTGTATGTGTATGAACTTGAGAAGGTAACCATGGTGACATAGGTCACAGAGTAAAAAAATATGGTGAGCAACACGCGGAGTGATCGTGAAACACAACTGAGCTAGACAAGCCCAATTAAAGGTAAGTTACAAGTGGATTTTATGTATTAGATAGGTACAATCCAGATAATACACGGCGCCAAGCCAGCAATTAACCACTCTACAGAGAAAGTGTACAAAGCGGATTCCATAATCGATGAAATACCAATGACACAAAGTAGATGACAGATATGAAACAAGCAACTTTTTAAAGTTATCAAGAGAATAGTGCACAAAATTAACTGATGGAAACACCACTGGTTTTTATAAGCTTTGCTAAGGTGAAGTTGGCAAATGAAGAACGGAAAATACTGTTGTGCTCACTCTCATGACTAGAACGTGGTCGAGAGCATGAAACGCTTAGATCATCATGCTAATCACAAGCCAGTTACTTGCCAGGACTGCCCACTTCCATGGATGTTCCGGAGCGATTTCTTGAGAGGCATGGTCCAATGTGGTCATCTAAAGCGACGAAGTGTTGTTTAGTACTTAGATTCGAAAGATCGTCGTTGATTATTGCGCCCATATGTTGATTACTGCGCCAATATATATATATATATATATATATATATATATATATATATACGTGCCCCATGCTGAGGCTGATGTTGCATTCTTGATGCTTCTTCACCGCAGTTGGGCTAAACCAACTTACACTTTAACTAGGTCTTTTTAAGCTGGATAAATTTCATTCCGCTTTATTTGGTTTGTTCTGCCTCCCTGAATAATGTTCTATTAACTGGCCACGTTGCTTACACTAATTGCGCTTCTCTTCGGTAATTTTTTTGCGTTTGTAGCATTTTAAGTAACTTGTGGACATTTCTTACTTATCACGGATTTGTTGCTAACCAACTTACTTCATATGGTAATTTAGCGAAGAGTTATGCCACCGTATCTGTATGCATTATTGGATTTATTTTATTTCAGCTTGTCGTTTAAAGTGAACGGCTGTTGTTTGATATCCCTGGTATGGTTGTGCTTGATGTGTATGTTGACAAGGTGCCTACCTGTCTATTACCCACTACATCGTTCATACTGACTCCAGGAGACAGTTGGTCGTTGCTGGAGGGGACGGGGTGCACGGTCCTTGTGGCTTTGCTAGGATCGAAGAGTGGTTCCATGCACTCAGTGTGGAGCGGACTACGGTCCAGCCACCGCCTTGTGTGCGGTTGATACCCCAAATACCGTTGATGAAACGTGGCTCCCATCCACATGCCTCCCGGTCTTATTCCTTCGGGTTTACACTGGATATGGAGTGTGTGGTTGGAGCTGTGGGTGGTGCAGCGCAAGCCATCCATGGTCCCTCTGTAGGCGCAGGCGTCCTGTGGCTTGCCACAGTGACAGGCAAATCCGAAACCGGATGCCGCCAACCATATATATGTATATGTATATGTATATATATATATATATATATATATATATATATATATATGGGCGCAGTAATCAACATCTTTCGAGTCCAAGTACTAAACAACGCTTTGTCGCTGTACGCACTGAACCGGAATATGCTGTACTCTGAGAACAAATAATAGTAATGTAGGAAGTCGGATGCATGAGAGTTTACTCTAACATCCCGCTTTGTGTTGCTATTTCCCACTTATATCGGTTGTTTTTCTACTCCGTCAAAGCAAGGTGAATTTAAGGACACATGAATAAATTGTTTATTCTCGAATACATCGATGCATGATATTGTGCAGCAAGTGAAACCGAAACTTCGCTCTGAGGGGAAATAATCTATCTAGGCTAACAGTCCGGAATGAACCTTTGCATAATATCATGCAGCCATTTCTCTTCAGAAATTTTAAGAAAGCAAAAATGAACATTTTTAAGGGAGAACTTGGATTCGGATTATTTCTTGTCTTCTCATTCAGCCGCCTACAGACAAATTGTGGAAAGAGTAAAGGAATGCAATTGAAAAGGGATCAAGTGTCAATCAAGCAAGTCTGCGGCTGTCACACATGGCGAAGTGGCACCAGCTGTTGGCATCGTGAAGTCATGGGGGCGGAACCCGGCAGAGGTCCGCTGGGAGGCGCACCACTGAGGAAATCCAGAAGGTCGAAACGCCGGCGTCTGGTGCTTTCCCAGACTAGCCAAAGCCTGCTGATTTCGAATGGCAATGATGAACTAGCTGAAAGCAATAAAACCCCGAGAAAAGCAAGGTCATCATCTACGTCTTACCAGGGCAAGCCAAGACTGCCCACAAGGTTGACCTGTTTGCAAAGGTTGGATTTCATTCGCCGGATGGCAGAAGCTTCAGCAAAACGAAGCAAGCGCGCGTTGTTTTGTCTGCTGATAACCTTGAATGCGTCACGTGGGTTTTTGCACAAGGTACAATCGAGCAGATGCCGAGTGACTGAGCTGGCAGGGAGTTCAGTACCACTATTTGCCAGGTTCCGTGGAACATGTTCCTTGATCCTAGTTGATAGTCTTCTCTCGGTTCGGCCAATGGACATGCTACCGCAAGTACACAGAAGGCTATCAACTAGGATCATGGAACCTGGCAAAGCAAGATGAATTTAAGGACATATAAGTAAATAAATAAATAAATAGTTTATTCTCGAATGCATCGATGCACACCACATAAGGCATGATGTTGCGCAGCAAGTGAGACCGAAACTTCGCTGTGAGGGGAAATAATCTATCTAGGCTAACAGTTCGGAAAGAAGCTCTGCATAACAATCGGACCGGAGTCATTGATCAGTGTCTTGCGCTGTCAACAAACTTAGCATGTATGCCATTCGCTTCGGATGCGGTCCCAATGATTGAATTGACCAATGTTCACTTTAATGCAAAATGGAAGTCCACATGGGAATTGCGCGTCGCAATCCATTTGCAACAAGAATGTTCAAAATGACACTTACAATCGGTTAGTAAACGCAGTGACAAGTGTTGTCAGGCACAATCCGGTGGGTTGGGGTTATAGGTTTCGACTGACATCCTAAACGACCTAGGCTCGAGTTGCAGAGCCGCTGTTTCTATCTAATGAGTGCAAACCAACAACACAGATCTGGTTATGGAGTGCACCGTTGCGACTCAGAAGCATCCACTGGGTCACAATATTCATTTATTCCGGGATGGTACGAAATGTTAACAATGGCCCGGTCTTGTGATAGTAACTTGCATTCGGAAGTTGCGAAGCACCAGATGAAGTATACAGTGGTCTGCACAGTCTATTTGCAGCGGTCAAAAAGGTAGTAAACTCCTGCTTCAAAGTGGAATTGAACACAAACGCGGAATAGATGTGAGGTATAAAGAGACGCACAACTATTTAAAGTGAGAAGTAAAGAGAATCCAAAAACACACCAGACTATCCAATAGAGAGCGGAGTGATGCGGGTAGTCTCCACAAGGTCGGAGATTGTTGAATGATGAGAGAGGCCAGACGGTTAGCCTTCAAAAGAACTGATGCCGAGCAGCGATCTAGTAGTCCATGGGGCTCATCATCGGCCTCTTTTTCATCTTCGGAGGAAATTCGATTCTCTGGTGTGTCTGATTTGATATCAGCAATGCTGTCACCTGCTGCACCGGGCGGCACAGGAGCCGGCCTGACAAGGGGTTAGAAACGGGCATTTCGATATAAAATAGTTAATAGTACGGAGATAGAGATGTGGAATGGATTCGAATCGTGGTCAACCAGTGGAAGGAATAAAAAGTAAACGTACGACCAAAGTAACATTTAGATGCGCGCCATGAACCGTGCAATCGCGGGAGTTGTGGATCAAGCTACTAATGGGCGTACTGTTGCGACAGAAAGAGTATGAACAAATTTCGCACAAGGAATAGACAGAGGAAACGTAGACGGGCAAAAGCGACGAAACGGAAGGAATCAGTGTGATTTGCTGGCTTCATCATCATTATGAAAGTCGGATGGCACGATTTTATGATAAAAGAGCATTTAAGTCGAAGCATCATTCAGATAAACAGATTTCAACTTGTGAACAACCCAAAGGACCGTTAACGTTCATAGGTGCAGCAAATATCAGTTAACTACCCCCCCTCCCCGACCAACAAACTCGTCACAGGAACCCACTAAAGGTAACTACAAACATTGCATTTTTCAGTGCAATTCGGGAGGAATTATGATCGATTTAGGCCTTTCATTGAACTCAACTTGCCGTCAGTCGAAGCAAGTGTGGAAGCACAGCGCATCAAACCATTGTCCCACAGTTTTCACTATTTGCACGAGATTCAATATAAGCAAGCACCGGTTCAGATCTGTGTGGGATAGACAGCCTAGAGCACCGTAGCAGCTTGTGCAATGAATAAGACAAATGAGCAATGAGTTCATCTTGATAAAAACCACATAAAGCGTAAACAAGCAGCTGAATACTAACGCATCAGGCGATTACACCGTAAGGTAGCTAATTTGTGCACGAGTGTCTAGAAAACTGGACGCGTCCACCAAGAAAAAAAACGCTGATAAGAGAGGGAGTCATGATCCGTTATGTCTCATATGATCAGAAATTGTTTCGTTTTAGACTTCTTGAAAGGATTTGCGATGAAACAGGGAGAACAAAAGAAAAGGAAACGGAGGGTAAGGTTCAGTGGAGATAAAATAACAGGAAATTGAGGACTGCGGTGAAAGGGGGTCGTTCAGTGGTTCCTCATGATAGTGTAAAAATTGTAGGATATGAAGAGTGACGACCAAAGACACATTTTAGAATCGCCGGTTTATGTTTAAGTGGCATGTGATTGGTGCACTAGAGGATGGTAGGAAGGATGCGAAAAAGAGAATCACACATATATTGAGACATTTGTGGCACACGCTGTGCGATGATGCCGTGATGCGCAGTCCTCCTAATCTCCACTGCGATTTACCGCGTAGCGAATCTCGGTAGGTTAGGCCATGAAACAAAACTAAGGGAGTGTACAAAAGGGTCAGTACATCATGACTACGCCACGTCTGATACAATCTCAAGCGCTAAAGTGGCCAGTCCGGAGGACCATACTCAAATGGGTGGCGAACACTAGTTCGACTCAGCTATTCGATAAGCTTCCATATTAGTGCTTAGCAAGTATGTTGCGATTCCGTTTGAAAACAAACAAGATTGCCGTGAACCTGCAAAACCGGCCAAAATCACATAAAAACGCATTCAACAGAAAACATACCATAGCGTGTAGTGGTGACTAAGGGTGGTGGAGAGAACAAGGTTTATCGGGTAGACAGGAAAAAGGCTAAGTGTGATAATAGGTTATCCTCGTGACTTCGAGTGTTAAAGCAGATGCATCAACATCTGAAGCTAACTGTGGTATGTTCATACAACTAAGCTGTAAGGGAGTGGAGTACGCAGTTGATGAACTGGAATTTGTTGAAAGGTCATTTCTGAACATTACTGATCTAAGCCATTATCGCATACATGACAGATTTTACAATAAAATTAAATGTCTAGCCAATACAAATATATCGAGTGATCTGCCCCATGAATAATCAACTCAAGAGTCCAAGAAAACAAACAATACTTGGGGATTACACACGCTAAGAACGTCAGATACCCATGGTTTACCGATACCTTTATGCATTCCCAAAAAGTAACCGAAGTTTTAGAAAGCCGCGCGATCGTTGACGATGTGTGTATTGACCCCATAGGCAGTGTGACTACAAGCGGCGATGCATTTTCTTAAACAACAGTTTGTATTTGGAAGGGGTAAAGCATGCGGCCTCAGTCTATACATCCACAACATAACATGGCCGAGCTCGCATCAAAAAGATGTGCATCGTCCGCGACTCTACGTTTATCGATTAATTACATCGCAGGGGCGTATATATTATAAATAAGGGGAGGAGGAGGAGGAAGATGTAGAAACTAGGATAAGGTTGACAAATCCTACTAGAAGGAATGGAATCAGGGAAGACTATGACTTAAAGCACTACGAGGACTAAAGAGTTGTAGTGCAGAGTGAGCGAGCAGGAACTCCCTTTAACTAAGACAATTGCATATAAAACCTCAGTAAGCACAAAAAACATTTTCCTGAATGTGTGTGCATAAATAATCGCAGAAGCACGCGCTTCGTCGGTCTAACCGCGAGGATGAGTTATTCTCACGAATAATTAATTAAATGATATGCCCGTAAGTGCAAGAAGCGCTGGAAAAGCATTAAAATGTTCCTGTGGTAGAACGTTCACGTAAAATACAAAGGATAAAGCAAGAAGACGAGAACCGCAGAAATGCCGCAGAAAATATGAGAGACGCACTTAAGATTGCAGAAATCGATGCATTGGATTGAAATCAATAAATATACCACAGAGGCGCAAAGTCTTGAAAAGCAAACAACAGAAAATAGGTGTACGCAACAGTTGCTTTCATGGGGATGCGAAATGTGGCTGGTAAGAGAACTGATGAGAGTAGTTTGAGTGTACTGAGTTAGCGCATATGCAAGAGAAAGTGCCGAAGGAGGCAGTACGAAATGAACCAACGGACCCTGTACAAGAAATAACTATCAAATGTTGAAGTGTAGGAACTAGTACGAGAGATAAGCGAGAATAGTGACTACAATGAACAGCATAGTGAGCTACTTACATTAAAGCCACGTTGGTACCGCGAAGCTTATGCAACAACGCGGAACGCTCAGCTTCCAATTGAGCGCACTCATCACGCAGATCAGTGGCCTTTTCAAAATCCTTGCGCAGTACGCAGTTGTGTAAGGACTCATTGAGCTCATTCATACGAACTTCCAGCTTCGCAATCTGTAAAATGGAGACAATATTAGTGGACGTAGTGGAAGTATGCGTTGTCAATTCGTAAACGAATGTGGATGCCGTAAGTCAACATGTGAACACAAGGTGTCGGCACGCAACTCAAGAGCACGACAGTGTGCGCTTCAGTAGACCACAGTAATGGTGTCTGGAAATCCAGTTACTGGGATAAGAGTAGCGGTGAATGGGGTAAGGAAAAAACATGTGGTAGATTTTGCTAAGCATAAACTTCATAAACACAGCCCTGGCTTGATATAAGGACAAATGTTAAACAGAGACGAAAATAAGCGAGCAGACTACTTAAGAAGCTTGCAGTAGTACCAACGGAACTCAGAGGAGTCAGGGAAATCTCATCAAGCAAATCGGAAAATGCCACGTCGGAGGAACAAAGTCACTGCTGCAACTGTAAAACACAGTTACCACAGTGTCTGTAAGTGTGATGTGCCTAATGTTGATGAATGCACGTAATCGCGTGCATGAGGAGGTTGAAGTAACAAAGTAGGCCATGTCAATCACCAAATGGCAACCATTACGTTGCAAGGCCGCGTTCATGGTGCATTGTAGCGTAAAACTGAGGCTATTGTGATTTTCCAACTCGACGAATAAAGCTTCGTAAAACGGATGTTGACTAGAAATTTCAGATGGCAAAAAAGTTAAACTATCAGTTGTGCTCACTGAATGTCATAAAAATTCGTCGAGAAAGTGGACGTTTCGTAAACGACCGTTACAACTAACCTTAAGTCGGAGAGCGCGCTCTTCGTCTTTGCTGATTGCAGCTGGCGACTTCTGTTCGTCGGGTAACAACGTGACGGGGGGCAGTGAACAACTAGCACCGCCATCCATAATGGGTTGTGTACACGTTGTGTTTGTTGAAGCTGCCGGCACATCAACCGGATCGCATAACTCGCTGATCATCTCGATGACGCCGTTAATCCGTTTGCGCTGGAACAGACAAGTAAGCAAGCAAGCAAATACAAAAACGAAGGCTAAGGAAGTGTGGTCGAATAATCCGCTAGACAAAACAGAACGGCAGCGAAGATATGGGAGATTTTAGTAGTTCGATTCGACTTCCGAGATAATAATAACGAGATCAGATAGGATGGAGACTCAACTCAGAAGTGACGCTAAAGTTAACGTGTGTAAATGATGTATTGACTTAGACCTTGTTTGAACCTAGCCAGAGCATATCCCAGCCGTCGAAAAACAAAGAGACTAGGAGTCACGATCATCCGCGTCTGAGTATGCCAACAGCTATGGAAAATTTAAAGCATAAGAAAATTAAAGGATAGGAAAGTGAGAGAAACTGATGATGGATGCCTCAGGGTAAAATAAATCAGAACCTAGAAGCCATCCGCAAGCTAGAAAAATGAAGCGTGGCCGATTCGCTAGGTAAAATAAAAAGGACAACGACCGACATCAGTTCACCTAACTACTGACGCCTAAACAAAATGTTGCGGCAAATAATAAATGCTCAAGACCAACATCATCACGTTAGCCATTTGAACTGATGCCTCGCTGCCTTACATCCATGATAACATAGAAAAGAAAAAATAATAAGAGAAACAGAAAGGGAACTTGCCGGAAAATCTTAATGCTTTAAGTAAACATTCAGGGTCAAGGCGCTTACACCTTGCGTCAACATACCGTCAAAAACAGCTGGCTATCGTGCATGGGCGGCATCAGTAGGACAGCTTCCTTGTGGCTTTCAGTGCCCTGCGTCATAATCAGACACTACTCCGCAGATAACTCAGTCCCAAACACACTTTAAACAAACAGTATAACTACGAGATGACAGCAGGCCCGATGAGAGCCATGTCATGTAACATCTCAAGCCAAGCCTAAGGAGTGCCACGTGGGCCCCATCCTGAAAGGCGGGACGGATCAACGGTACCAAGTTTGGTCACCACTGACTTCATTTCCCGTTGCCAAGTAAACTGTTACCCACCTAGAGCCTTGCGCCACCCTACACCTGGCAGACTAAACAAGGTCCTCCTCGATAAGCGGTGACTGGGCATACGTTGTTCGTGCCCAAGCCATTGCAACTTATTCAGTGCTATCTGCTGTTCTAAGCAGCTAGCGTGATCATCACTGTCTAGCACTCGCCTACGCAAATCATGGTTGCGGATACGCTGATGCTATCCGACACCAGCAGTGCTCTGCAGACAACGATGATCAAAGACTTGAAGGTGCCTCAGGTCCTTAGATCATAGGGGGCCAAGTCTCGCTCCCACAGTGTAGGACGGACCTCACTGTGACCTTGTAAACACGGACCTGCATATAAAGAGAAACAACTTGTTGGCACCATCGTTAAACAGCAAAACGATATGGTCCTCATAACCAAGACCAAATAGTTATTGAGGAAGCAGCACCTCAATATTTGCATCGTGAGGATCCACAAAAAACATTCCATGATGGAGTTCACAACGAAGTTGAAAAGAATTGGAGTAGTTGGACAACCGTGACGAACGCCACGTGTTGTCAGAAAGATATTTGATAAGTCCCTATAGGCCCTGACTGAGAAGTAAATGGTTGAAAGACAGCTAGAGGAGAGCGTCAGAAGGCAAATTGTCACACTGGGAGTGCAATGAACATCTGTCGGATGTTTTCCATATTGCCTACTCTAAGCAAAGACGAACTATCTTAAAAACGGTGGTCGGAATGCAACAAGGGCGTTGTCCCAGTCTGCTGACAGACAAATCCGCATAATGTACACTAGTTTCCTATGGCGATCGGATTATCAAGTAGGCTACCGCACGAATCACAGGGACTGGACTTTGCACATAAGAAATGCAGAATATAGTAAACACACGCCAGCTTAAGTAGTCATCGACGATCGAGTCAGAAAAGATGGGGGCCAACGCCTAGAGATCAGTGCGTTGCCACGATAATAATAATGGTACTAATAACAATAGGCGGGGATTAAGAAAAATGAGAGACAATAATGGAGAGAGGTTAGCTTTGAATGGTAGATTAGTAGACAAAACTTCATTGTTCTCACAAACGCACACTGCTTGACTTGGAGTAAGCTGATGATATTGCCCTCATCTGTGACAGCTCACAAACGTGCCAAGCGGCACTGGACAGATTAGCACTAGCTGTCCGTCACCTCGCGCTTTGCTTCGCACCCTCGAAGTCAAAGCGTTCCTCCAAGGTTGGTCTGGATCGCCTCCTACGCTGACCGTTGGTGGCAATCAGCTAGAAGTCGTTCAGAAATTCAACTACTTGGGAAGTTGTATCAGCGCCCGTGGGATTGAAGATGAAATCACGAATCGTATAGCAAAAGCTCGGGGCGCTTTTGCTAATCTTCGCCACTTATGGCGGCGGCGCATCACTCTTGCCCTGAAGGGTAGAGTGTACAATGCAGCAGTACGTTCGACCCTACTGTACGGTTGTGAAACCTGGCCACTTAAAGCAGCGGACCTGAAGAGACTAGTTACGTTCGACCACCGGTGTCTTCGCAATTTAGTTCACATCTGGTGGGAACACCGCGTGAGCAACGAGGGTGTTCGACGCCTTGTTTACGGCACAGGAAAAGGAACTGAACCGCTCGGCACCGTTATTTCCCTCACCAGACTCCGATGGCTCGGCCACGTGTTACGCCTGCCAGCCCAACGACTCCCTCGGCGTGCGTTGTTTGCTCACCGGGGATGTGGGTGGAAGAAGAGGAGAGGTGGCCAAACGATGACTTGGTCCAGGGGAATGAAGTCCCTCACCTCGGAGCTAGCCTCGGTTGGAGCTTCACGGCTCCCTGGTTGGGGTCCGAAAGACGATGAACACGTTTCATTGGACACACTTGCTGATATGGCTAGGAGCCGACCTCAGTGGCGTTCGTGCTGTGAGTTTCTTTGTCCCACCCCATCCCTCTTAGCCTCTTCCTACAACCACGATCTCATTAGTTAGCCTTATATAATTTTGCATAGTAATTTTTTTTGGTGCACAGTAGCCGGCTGGTAGCTTACGGGAACGATGCCCATCCGTTACCGGTAGCTCAGCCAGCTTGCACCAGTTGCATTTTTTCTTTCCTTTTTTCTATGTATTGCGACACAGTAGCTGAGGTGTTCCCCACCTCAAGCTAACGTGTATGATGATGATGATGACACTGTTTGACAAGGTCAGTAGATACCTAGCGCAAAGGTATAATGGAGTACAAAGTGGGGACTCGAACATTGTTAATATGTGAGTCACGCATATTGACATTGAAAATTGGGGACGCTTGCATTGGGTCACGAGTACTGTAAGGGTTTCGCATAGTGGCTGAAATCCTCGTTTCGAAAACGTTTAAATTACGACTGCCGACATTCCGATGAGCGAATAAACGTAGCTGTGCCGTCCACGCATGTTAAGTCACATTCTTTGAACAGCAGCTGACCTCAGCCGATTTAGCGCGAACCGTCAGTTGAGAAGGCACTTGACAGGATGAGGCCACAGAGTGGTGACAGATGGAGGAAGCAAAAACAAGACAAACAAATGGCTTCAGCGCTGGAAAGGGCATCGCTTACTACTTTGGAGTAGGGGCACGAATAACAGGGATCAGAAACGCTAACCGATAACAGGTGACAGACCAGTGAGAGAAGCGTGTTTACGTACGCCATGTCGCTAGCCAATAATTCACCATCATGATTCATTTATTATACATGTTAGTCAGAGGTGGGAAATACGCCATCTATTGTGCCGCAATACATAAGAAGGACGCAATATAGGCGCGCCAGTTGAGCCATCAGTGACGAATAGATGATGTTCCGGAGGAATATTTCGCCACTTCCTAAAGGTTTAATATCGCATCGAACCTGGGCTAGTCCTACTGCAATGCTTACAGTAAGGAGGAAAATCAACAACGAGACACCGTATGAATACACGGTATGATACTTGCTCAATGAATAGGTAGCCAGTTGCAGATGAAAAACTGGAAAGAATCAGTATAAAATAATCCGGCAAGTTTCTGCATGGCATGATGAGGAGAACTGGAGGAATCGATTGACGTAAACGGGATATGTTAGACTAGTACGACCACGTGTTCGCGGTCGTTCTAATTGGCAACCAGGGTTTCCATTACATAGAGAGAGAGATGGTGGATAGTATCAAAGTAATGATACAAACCAGACAAGCCAACAACGAATGGTTATAGGATGGAACCCAAAATTAAACACCAGGGAATAGAACCAAATATCTGCACCATCCGCCATGGAGACAAAAGTATTATTGGGCAATGGATCGCTGTCTGAAAAGAATTCCTAAAGAGGACGAAAGGATATCAGCAGGAAAGTAGATAGGGCCGTGATCAAATCGGTCGGTCACCTATGTTCATGAATTAAAGTGAGCTATATCCAACTGCCATGAACCATGCCACCAGTAGGCTAAGAATAGAAAAGAAACAATTACGGGAACATAGAGAGTGAAGGAGTAATCAGGTAGGAGGGAAAGATACGAAATGATTCAGTAGGTAGATGGAATGGTTAATATTATGGGCGACAGGCATAAAGCGCAAGCGCCTTTAGCTGTGCAATCGCATTGCGCGAAAATCATCAAAATGCTAGTGTGGCCGATCCAATGGACTGTCTTTAGGAAAAATGTATGCCCCATATCAACCAAATCATTGGTTGGCACATGCTCTTTCGTTACCGTGTGGTAATCAGGAGAAAACGGTGACAAACTTACCAGATTTGGCTCGAGTAATCCATGAACTCTGAGAAGATGTGGAGAGAGGGTATTCGTGACCACTGGACTCGTTATCCAGTCATGAATAAGGGCACCTAGTTTGCGTCGGCCAAACTCATCACTCAAGTCGATGTAATCGGCCAAACGAAGAACTTGTTCCACCACACACTCGCGTTCCATTGCCTTTTCATCAAACTCATGCGCAATCACTTGCTGAATAAGGCGATCCACGAGGCTGTCGGAAGAGGGATTCAAAATAAAGCGGTCGCCAAGATGGTTTGTCAAAACCTGTCTGTCGGCTCAGCCGTCATTACGCGTGACACAAGAAGGCCGTGAAGAGGTGGTCAGCGCCCATCAGTGAATTCAGGATAGTCGTTTACAAAAGGGAGCAACATCCAACAGGCAATCTAAATGAAGTCTAAACGAGTAATTCCGACCAGCGATTACAAAAGAGCAAGCCGCAACTAACAAATCGATTGGCAATACAACCCAGTAGAAAAATAATACAAGATAACTCGATGCCGCTTATAATGCGACCAGGAACAGAGGGAGAGATTACGGCGGCGCAGTCGAATACAGAACCCCTTGGACAAAGAGGTTAAACAGGGCTTTGCCAGTAATAGCGTAGTGCAGCCAGCATCTTTCATAGACAAAAACCTACTGGTCTCGGTACAAAGCCTGGCTCAGCGCTCAAAAAGGTGTTGCGCCACACCAATTTCGGCTACATTTGTATGGTCCAGCCTGTTGGGATAAGAAGGACGAAGCCAGGCTTAGGCATTTAACAATTACTTACCTTCCGCTATACGTACCAACGGATGTAGGGGTCTGAACTTCCGTCATTCACTCTGCACCATTACCTTATGTGGTCGTATCATTATATATATATATATATATATATATATATATATATATATATATATATATATATGTCAACGACTCACTAGAGCGCTTGTGGTGCCAGGATACTGACTGAGCATTGAACCGCCGTTGCTAAAGTTATACCATGGACTCATATCCTGGACGCCTCCTCGAGGAGGCGATCCCTGGATGGGAGTAGGGTTACAGACTTTAGCTGAGAGCCAGGACCCACAAGTCTGCGTGAGTCGTTTGACACAAGGAACATTTCCCGCTGCCTTTCAGGAGTACATTTTATCGAAGGCTATGGTTGAGAGCGCAGTCGTCTTACTGTTCAAGTGTAGACGCACTGGCCGCATGTCAGTGCTGCATTTGGAAAGCTGGAACACCGGATCTGGAAGTATGATCAGCTAAGCGTTAGGATTAAGCAGGAGGTGAACAAATCGGTAGTGCTGCTGGTTTTTCACGCCATATGGCCGAAAGGATAAGAGGTCTGTTTTGCAATCCGAAGGTTGTAGGTTCCAGCCTACGTAGGGGACCGGAGACACTAAAAATATCCTTAGCCCTCGAGCTACGAGTTGTGGTTAGGTGGCAGCAAAGTGTCGGTAAGGTGCGCTGGTGTATTGCTGACGCCTTTCCATCTTATTTAAGGCAACGAAACATGGATACTAAAGAAGAAGAATATCCGATATTTGGAGCGCTTTCAGCAACAATGCCTGCGCCGGATTCTGCGCATCCGTTGGTGTGACACAGTTCCTGACAGGGAAGAGCTCCGTCGTGGTGGTATGTTCGGAATAGATTGTATGCTATTACTCCGATACTTAAGCTGGCTCGGATATCTCCGCCGTATAGTTGCAACCTGAATACTGAAACACCAACTATAGCGCCAGATGAGAAACCAGAAAGTGGAAAAGCGAAGCTGCGCTATCAGGACATGATCTATATGGGTTTATCACAAACTAATGCTGACAAAAGGAGTTGGGTACCCATGGCGATGGATCGACGCCAAACGCGTGATCACATGCTGTTGCCTAAGCACACCAGAAGAAACGGTTGCACCAAAATTTAGGGCACTGGTTGTGCAAGTCACAGACACCGACGGAGCCCAGCTCATGGACGTCAAGCAGATGGCGCTGTAGTACATGCGACGGTGTAAGACTCAGCCAAGCCCGTCTGGTAAGCCATCAAGGTGGTCACGAAGTGATAGTATCAAAGAGGTGACGGGTAACTTGCATAGGTAAGTACGCTGCTTTCGACTCCATTTATTAGCCTAGGCCAATAATGCGGTGCCTATGGCATGTGTGCTACATCATCGCTGCAGTCAGCAAGTACGTGCGTCTGCGTGTCTGCTTTTCACATTTTAGTTGTTTGTTGATTGAAATCTGCTGTCTCGACGCGTTGGATGTGGATGTCGGCAAGGTGCGTATCAGCCGAAAATTCTCAAGTGGTATACTGCGGTGGAAGGGTTTTGCACAATATTCGTGACATTGTTAGACTCAAAGAGTGATTCCATACAATGTGGAATAGGGCTTTGGCCCAGCTACCAGTCTGTGCAGCTCTAGCATGCATGATGTTCCGTGTTCAATTGTATGGTGTGTTTGCTGAATGTGTGGGCCGGCTCCGGTTCAATCGTCTTCCTTCTTTCTTCGGGTTTACAGTGGATATGTGGCGTGTGGATAGAGACGTGGATGGTGCAGCGCAAACCATCCATAGCCCCTCAGTACGTGTAATCGCTGGTCGCAGTCGCAGTAACAGGCAAGTCAGGAAAGGGATGCAGCCAACCATATATATATATATATATATATATATATATATATATATATATATATATTTCCAAGTTGCGCTAAAGAGGCAAACAAGAAAAATGATGCACATAGAACGAGTGGTGATCAGTAATTTGATTGGCAATAGTGCTGCCAAGAAAGAATTCAAGAAGTCGTGGGTAAATAAACTATGCTCATATATACACTTACCGTTTTATCATGTCCACATAAGTACTAACGGATGGCAAAATGGATTCAATTGATATGGCATTGCTTTCTTGATCAGTGTCCACTTCAGCATCTTCAGCAATCACTGGATCCTGTTGGCCAACTTCAGAATTGATGGGCAACGAGGATCCGTCCGTCCGACGATTGTAAAGGAATTCGGCCAATGCTCGCCAGAAGAAAGCTGCTTCGGCACTGTACATGTCTGGCTTGAGGATGCGTCTGGTGTGTAAAACGAGGTTCAGGTATTTAAAAATGGTTAGGAGGTAGGGGGATTCAACTCTGTTCAGAAACATGACGGACTTGAAATGAAGTGCAGTGGAAAAGTATCATTTTAGCTGCAGGAGTTATGAACGCGCAAGAAGACCGCCCGAGTTTCTCAGAATTGCGGCTAAGTGAAATCTTTTATTTAACTACCAACGCAAAGATAATGACAAATGTGCAACGCAAATGTGTGTCTAACACTGGCTGTTTCACCGGAGCGCACAGTGAGAGCCCATGTGCCAGTTGGTGACCTCTGGTAGCTCGCCAAAGATGAACCCGAATATACCACATCGCCGTAAATACCAGGGTGATGGGATTCGATCGTCAACTGTCGCTCGTTCTGGAACATGTAAGTCAACTTTTGTCATGCCCTACTTCGATACGAAGCTTCCATGAACTTTGCCATGGTGCGTCACAAGCGTCTTTCCCGATTGCGAACTGAATTTTATTTCAACCCACAAGAAGACAAAAATACCGGGAAGTCCTGGTCAGCCATCCGTCACCCAATAACTTGCAAGTCAAGCCAAGATAAGCTTCATACACAAGTGTGGGAGCATTTTCAGCAATTTGCACTAGAACTGCGGACATATTACAACATACAATCGGTGGGAAAATGACGCGAGGTGATAAGAAAAACAAGAAGAGTTCATCTTCAAGTACGCAAACGTTTTCGCAATTGATGCATCATCACTTTCGAGTCAACTACTAAGCGAGACAGACAGATAAGGTAAAATGTGGCAGCGATACGAAGAGACAAGAAAAAACAAAACTCTAAATTTCAAGCGAGTGGAAGAAATGGATACCGTACTTGCTAAAACAGTGTGTAGAGGTGAGAGGGGTTGTTTAGAATATCGATTTAGAATCTAGACACGCGTCAAGATACTTGCTAGCTATAAAATCAAGGAGGATTCTCTGCTTAATCTAGAGCATCGGGAAACAACTCTTAGTGATCGCATAAGAAAAGTGTAATCCTTTTGAAGAAGTCTGGGGAAAATAACGGAGGAACAGCACAGCCAACGGAAGAAAATACATGCATTTATAAATCTTAGAATTAGATCCCGCGGTACTGTGAGAATTTTGAGCCTAAGGGAGTAAAAGGATAGTCTACTGACTTAAAAGTTTCAAGAATATATGTCAACCAGGATAAATTGTGGGACATCAAGATTCAGTCAAACGGTATATCGGCCCTGCTCCCAAAAGCAGCAGCCCATGCTCGCTGCATTACCAGCCATCAACAAACCAGTCAATAGATATTCGAGTTTAGTGAACCTGCTGGAATGAAGAAGGAAAGTTCTCGCTGGCACCAAACCCAGCGTAACCAGAGTCCGCGGACTGAAAACGAAACATGGTGGACCCAAAGAACTCAAAAATAGGACAGGCGAGGTCGGTGGTAAAATACCGTAAAGTTTGTCACCTGATCCGCAGCGCTGTTTCCAGGAACCTATTGGTCAGTGAGACACTCAGGGTCAGAACATGCGCTCAAATTCACAACAAAGATGGTCACCTTGCTCGTTGGATGTAGCAACTTTGAGAATAGGTAAATTTGACCGCTACTCCGGAAAGTTATCACGTTCAGGTGATGAAGTGTGAACCATGGCCTAGTAGCCTAGAGGCTCCACCAATAGCTGAGGTTCGTTATGAGATCACATCCCTCAACTGTTCGGCACTACTAGTCCGGATGCTCTCGCACTCGTGCCAAATAAAATAGTGGTGATGTTCTCTGCAAAGCAGACTCATACTCGAGCGAGTATGGAAAGAAGAGACGTACACGGTGGTGATTATCAGACTAGTTCCTTAGGGCAACTAATAACACCGGTGGTGTATCGGTCCAGCAGTACTTTGTACTCTGAAGGTGCAAAGGATACGCCGAAGCGTGCAGTGCTACGCAAGACGTAGGTCGTTAAAGCACATGGTAGTGAAGGGTGAGCCACGTTACATCACAGCCAGTCATCAGCTATGATGCCATTGACCAGAGATTTACACTTCAATGAAGAGCATCTCGACCTGGTTGAGAACCAAAATTCACAGAAACGATGCAGCGAGATACTCACACTGAATCGTATCCTTTGTCCACCAAATGCTCCGTTTCCTAATACCCATCAAAGATGGTTAAAATGCTTCCCGTCATCTCGATTTTAAGTCCTTGTTAGAAGATGCTTCCACTAGGTGGTCGTGTTGTGGTCGACACGTGCAGTCAGTAGCCACAAAAACGATCATCAGAAAGCGATTCAGTGAAAAAAATTCGGACTGGGTGTTTGTTAGTCCGTACCTAGTCAAACTATGGAATTTCAAGAGGAAAGCGCACAAGTGAAGCCGAGCCCTCAATGTCCATCAGACGACCGGATTATGAGCGATTTTCGTCTAACTCAAATGTGAAGATTTGATGCTAGATGTGAACCAATACGTAGTTAGTGCACGAGCGCGTCTCAATACGTTGTTGTTTATACCAATGCCAATGTCCCAATATTATGACCGGCGAGGACTGCAACGCCGAAACAGGTCGTCAGAGGAAAAATGTGAAACGGCGAAAGCCCAGCGCTTTTACCCGCACGGAATAAAGCAAAACTTACTCTTCATTCAAGTACGTGGCAATCCAGTTTTTGATCATTGTTTGAAACTCTGCAACCGGCAAGACAGTGAATAAATTTCCCAAAAGCAATTGACTGGTTTCCGGAACTCCTTCGGTGTCTAATCGTCGGAGAAGATGAATAGGATCTTTGTCTGTTGCCCTGAACCAAGAAAGTACCAACTCCTGGGCAGCCTGTTTGACTTCCACTGAGGAGAAGGTCACGTGTTGGAGAGAGGTAACAGCACAGGGAGCAGAAAATAAATTTAAAATTCTGTGTAAGCAATTGTGAGTTTTTGAAGCGTGTGAACAACCATCTCAACGCACAGATAGTCACGATAAAGTACTTCAACTGACGCAGTTAGGCCAGATAGCGTTTCTAGGCCAGTACGAGAACACAGCGGATGAGAGTAAAAAATAAGGAACTAAGTTCCAAGAGATTAGCATTGAGACCCCGAGGTAGCAACCAGTTGTTTGGTGCGACGAAACCGACCGTAAGATGACATGCGAAAAAACTCCAAACCGGAAATACTGGCTGTCTCGTAACTGCAAGCCAAACAGACGACTGGACACCAAACATAAGACTGCTAGATTTTTGCATGATCATAAGAAGTGGAAACATCACGAGCGAAATAATTCAGCTAGGCTATTACCATGTGTGGTGAGGCATTAGCGGTGATAGATAAGTGCAAAGAGTCAAAATGGATTGTAAAATGCGCCGGAATGTGATTAGTAATGACAACGCGTCGATTGTGATCATATTGTTGTTCATCGCTAAGCGAAAGAAGCATCTATGGAATGAAAATAGACAGGGGCTAGTAAAATGAAAAACCATGCAAAGTAAAGGGAGGGTCACTTCGTGAAATATAATAATAATAATAATAACACACTGATTTCGTGGATGGGTGAGATGCTGTTTCCGTAATAGGGGCAGATCATCACCACAGCTATCATCATGCTTATGCGTAAGTGAGATAAGTATTCGGCAGCTTCTGTACTGTTGCAACATTCTAAACTACAAGGTTTTGCTGGTGCTGGCTTTTGTGTGTCACTTCTCACTAGCTTATAGTTTTGGTACATTTTGGAAGAATTCATTCGGCGGTTTTCCTGATGAGAAGATGGCTGTTATAGAGCTCCACTCGAGGGAACTTCCAAGTTTGTTGCGAAATGTTCTTGTATTTGCACAATACCTGACGGTGACTGGTAGGCTATTACACAGGACAGCGTATCCGACTAGTAGAAATTGGATCGAATACTTGTTTTGATTCTTGGCAAAATCATATCGAAAGCGTTGTCGCGAAGCCTCCGATTGAAGTCATGGTGTAAACCTAACGTAGGCAGATCGAAGTGCGTCTTCTGGTTTGCCAGAATGCACATGAGCATCACGTCGTGTTTCAGTCACCGCGACCAAAGAGGCTTGAGATGAAGCTGCTGGCAACGTAGCTGACGACCCAAGTAGGACGTTTTATTGAACTGACATTTAGTGAGCAATCTCTGCAGGTTCTCTAGGGCTAATCTTTCACTTACACGCATGTATGCATAAACGATGCTGCAGTACTCAAGGATGGGAAAAATACTGATTTTGAATAATCCAAACTTGACTGGAACCGTATAGATGTTATGGAATGTGTCAAACAATACATCGCCTTGCCCGCGCCATTTGATATTCTGCCTGTCTTAAAAAGTTAAATTTGGAAGAATATCGTATTCCTCGATAATAATCTGACAGCTTTACGCGGATACATTCCTTATTGAATTTGATGACTCTTCAGTGACCGAACTTCCGTGGGATATGATGCCTGATTTGGTAGCTGAGAACTTTATCAGCCATGTCTCACACACCATTTCTCTAGTGAAGGAGCAATGTTGTGCTCTAGAATTCGTCGCGTCGAAACTTAACGCTATCGGTAAATACAAATGATGTGCCGTGTTTGATTGGTATGCTAAGATCGTTAATAGAGAATAGGAAAAGCGAGGGAGCAACTATGTTTCCATTGAGTGACACTATTTGTGATGGGATATTGGGGAGAGCAATGAGCAGGAGAGGTGATCGATCCGGTCACCACGATGGTGTTTCAGCTGGTAAATTAGGATTATGTCCAGCGTTAAACCAGTGCTTCGTACGCTTTCACAGTGGTTATCCGATCGAAAATGTCAAGCGAAATGAAATCAGGCGAAAAACCGCCAAAGACGATGAAATGGAGCGTCTAACGTAAATGTAGAGCGAGATGCAACAGCAACTGAGACTGACGCTAGGGAAAAAATCAGCTCGATATAAAAAAAACTGTCTCTTGTTACATAGCACGATCGTCCACTTATGCGGCCGGATGAGATGTGGAATAGCATATCGGGGAGTGTAAGCTAGAGAATAAAAGGCAAGCCAAGGTGCCCATACAGGCCAAACGGAGAAGCATGAGAATTGGTTAGACATTTTGCTGTGGGTGATACAGTGTCGAAAGCGGCACTAAGAGTATACCTCAAACTAAGAACGACAGTACTTGAGACCTGAACAAAAGCAGCAAAGACAGATCATATGAAGCAGGGGTAAGAGAACAAAAATCCGGCCTACAGAAGTGAATGGTCAGTAAGGGATCAATCATTTCCCACACACTCAACAGTCGGAAGACATAAAATCCCGTCAAGCGCTAAGAAAAACAGCTACATCGAAACTTGCTAATCAATGCAATACTATGGGATCAATCAGGAACAAATAGGGACGCAAATATCTCAATGCCACGATACCATCGAGTGAAGAAAACAGGGACTTTCTGAAAACGGACTATACAAGTCACTAACACAGCCCCTCTTCCGGTCGAAACGAAAACAATGTATCACAATGAGGAATTTCAGAAACCAGACCTCGTCCGACGTTACCGTAAGGTGCTTTAATGAAGTAGAGCAAAAAACGGACACCAGTGGACCGCATAGTCCAATGAGGTGCCTGGTCAACCATGGTAAAGATAGCAAAACGTGGAAGATACAGCGGCAGACTCTAGTGTTATGATGATAAAAGGCAAAGCTACAAACACACAAACCCTCGGAGAAACGGATTATAGCAAAGAGTAATAATGGACAAAGGAAAAATTTGAACGCCAATATGAGAGAAAAGCACAAACTGGAATACCAATGACAACGATGGTGCCGTACGTGAAAAGGGACAAAAGTACCAGTAAGGCCTTTCTCGAGGTACCTATCGAACAAAAGAACGTGCACAACCAGACCAAGTTCTCCGGGAAGCATCTTCGTTTGCTGTCATCACTCAAGCCTTTAAGGCACTTATGGTTTCACATAGCCAGACGTAGTGTTGGCGAGCAATATATGTCAAGACAATTAGTCGACAGGCATTTAAGAAACCAAACCCAAACAACACAGATAGTTTAATCGATTGCAGTCACACATTACGGTCTAAGGATTTGCTGACGAAGCGTAGCTGGTGGCCGCTAGTATTAGTGCGTTAGAGATCCAACCCCATGTCAAGGATACTTGATAGGTCCCAGTGGTCAACGCTTCAATAGTTTCCTGTTCGCTGTTCCAGCGTAGGTCCAATTCCCCTGAGCTACCAAACACAATTATATATATATATATATATATATATATATATATATATATATGTCGACAATTATTACGGCATCAACTCGTTGAGTTGCGTCGAGGTGATTACTCGATTACTGCTCAAAGGCCTCGTCAATCAGGTCCTCGAACGTAACGTGGCTGAGCAACAGTGCTGATTCTATTCGGGCCGCAAAACGATAGATATGGCGTTTGCGGTTCGTCAACTGCAGAAGTGGCATGAGCGATACCAGCCATTATACTCACTGTTCATCGACTTCGCCAAGGCATCTGACACGATGCACTGCGAGGCACTGTGGCTGGTATTGGTTGTCCAGGCAAGTTCGTTTGTCATATTAAATGCCTGCACAGTGGTATGGGGGAGAGGGGGCAGCTGGGGGGACAGACCTCGGGTAACTTTGATATTCTCAATGATTTGTAGATAGACTGTAACCTAGCTCCTGCCCTGTTTTATATTTACCTGTGATGTCTACTGCTTTTAATTCCTGCGAATGCGGTGTCCGCCTAGAGAACTGCGTCCATGGTGGAGTAATGAACACCCATTGTTTCGGGGCGAGAACCAGAATGTGCAGAGCAAACATCCAGATGCTGTTATTTGGTTACGACTGCGCGTTGGTTGTACACAGCAAGAATGAGTTACAACGCAAGACGATGAGTATCGTTTCCTCGGTGACCACGTCCCGATTCAACATCAACAAAAGCAAGACTATTAATCTCTAACAGCCATCATCCGGAACGGAATCCGTTAGCTATCCGCAGATCAACATCGCTAATGAAAAACTACTACCTCGGTAGCAAACTGCCAATGGAACCAGAGACGAGAGATGATATATGTATCATCCTTATTTCTCTACCAATGGGAAGTTGGAACAACGGATGAGTAAATGAATCCCCGGTTTTATGATCAGGAGCCTGAAGATAGTCAGGGCAAGAGGAATGGTGATTCAGGACGTTTGGAATTTGGATACCCTAAAGTTGCGAAATAGAAACTAAAAAAATAGAGGAAACGAGATTAACTGTCTAAAATCGCAGACAAATGTGGAGGGAATAGAGCATGAGCTCCCCAAACAGGAATGCGCAGGAGACCTAAAAGTCAATAATGTGACTGTTCGAATAGCAACTGAAAATTGTCAAGAAATCGATGTGGTATGTTCATCTGCCATTTCCGCTGAAAGATGTTGAACTAAGTTTTCAAGAAAGATAACTTCTTTCAAATGTAAACAAGAGAGCTATTAAAAAAGAAACATACCCGAACGATCTGTCAGACCATCTTGCAGTATTCGAATACGTCTCGCGATCGACAAAGGTCGAAGCACGCTCCGAGCAGCCAAAATCTTGTAGGCCGTACGACGTACACTATCTGAAACGTCACGACATCTCTCGATGATGACGGGAAGCGTTTTTGTTGTGAGGACCATAGCAGCAAGAGCAGCGCGACGAACCTCGACGGTTGGATCATGTCGAGTCAACCAGACGAAAGCCTCTACTGCAGGACAATCTGCTAATGTTGGATCTTGCATGCGGGCGAGTGCCTGAACCGCTTGAACTCGAACAACCGACTGCAACAGAGGCGTGAAATTGCTTTCTTTAATCAGATACTCCCATAAAGCCGAAAAACGGTGGACGAAGTACCGCAACAAGTGGAGGATAATGGAACAGACAACGTCAATAACCGCGCACTAGATCCGTAAAACTTGGCTACATACGTGGAAATCTACTGAGGACGCACAGTCAATGGTGGTGACAAGATCGTTAGTGAAACTCGACAGTCAATAAAAGTGAATCACAACTTTCACGATGCTGTAAATTCTATGGTGGGGATCGTAGTAGCAGAAAATAGAAATGTTAGTCCCAAAAAAAACAAAGGTTTGTATTAAGTGATAGAGCGCAACATGGTGACGCGTGGAAAGTTCTCCGTATAGCACAAAGGTTCGGAATTGCGCTGAGTAAAAGTGCATAACAAATTTTTTAAGATCTGGTTGCCAAAACAGTGAAGACACCTGCATAGATATTAGGTAAATAAATTCACATACATCAAAAGCAAGAGTTTGCAAACAAGCCCGGTTTCAGGGGTTCGCCATCAGGCTAATACACTCCGAATGAATAGCATGAGCGTACACAACAGATGAAGAAAAGGAATGAACCGTCAGTTGTACGTGGTAGCACGCTTCGTTGCCGCGCGACCACCACCAGTAGCGCGTGGGCTGAGTAGACGGCGAGGATGCTCGCCACTACGCGGATTCGAACCCGTGACCTTGTGACTGGAAGCATGGCACGCAGACCACTCGGCCGCCGGCCAACGTAAGTAACAGATAAGAGTGCCAGTTCCACGGCCTAGACGGTCCGAGTGACCGAGTTAGGTTATTGGTTCCAAAGTGATAAAGGGTGGGTAACAGAGTTGTCCACACCATGTGTCAGCGTTACATGGGGCCAGGGTAGCTGAATGCCGGGACAAATTTCTGATGTATGCAGAGGCCATAGTCATGAAACCGAATGGCAATCGCTTGAGTCGCTGGCAGTAAACGACGTCATCCACACAGAGATGCGTTAAACCCAAGAGGAGCTGTCGTTCGAGTGCTGTAAGCTTGTGATGCTGTAGTACAGCAGCATTTCAATTACCAAAGTGTGAAGAAAGGACCAATGCCAGTTGAGTATGCAGTTGAAAAGCAAACGGGATATGGAACAACTTGGTCACACTTTAATTCTTATGAGGAATTCAGATGGCAGTATCCAGTAAACCACAAGTCGGTTAACGGGGGCAAGATGGAGGGTTTGTAGAATACAAACGAATTTCCACGGTATGTTATTCAACAACAATTTGTACCACAAGTTGAAATACCATTGTGGTGGACCATATGTATGTATGTCGCTGTGGTCAATAAGTTCTCCGATAGAGTGGAATTTAGCCTAGTTTTCACTGATTTAGCTCTCTGGAGGAGCAGAGAGCGGTAGCAGAATGGTGACAAGGTCGGAGGTAGCGTTAACAAAGACAAAGTCGACGTGTTCGTTGTCGGTAGCCGTGCGGTATTCAAGCACAAAAGTGGTGATTTGACATCAATAGACGAAGGGGTCGTCTGTTGAAGTGCTCCGCGCGTCTAAGTTGCATGTTCACTAATGGATTTCAATGTGTAAATCGGTGTATCGCAAGAGCGACAGATGTGCTGGTTTGCAACCGACAAGATTTGCAACCATCTGTCCAAATTGTACACCAATGATCCTGATCCCACCTGAAACCGCCCCAGTCAGATGCCGTCATGGATGAGCAAAAACTCACTAACAGAAGCTTATCAGTCGGCTGGATGTTACTCTCCATTTATAGCAAGCTAATATACACTTGGGGATATACCCACTGTCTGGGGAACCCAAGTCAGATATAAAAAGTCGCTGACGCTCGAAAGCACTTTGAGTGTGAAGTGACACATCATCGGAAAATAAGACAAAATTTCGACGCACTTTCACATCTTGCACGCGACGCAAAAGAATGTCTTGCAGGCTACGATACAAATCGTCTGGAATGGCTCCGTTATCACCGATTCCCTCGAGCAACTTGTGGATAATTTGCGTACAGCGGAAGCGCACGGCCGGACTGGGACACTCGTTATACTGGAATGAAAGGTGTATAGTATGAAGGAATTGCTGCCATGTGTGGATCAAACAGATCGTCAAGCAAGCAAAAGTTGTGATTCGGAAGTAACAACGAAAAAGGTGAAAAAGGTAATGTGGCTTACAAAAACAACTCAAGCTGATATGAATCAGTGGATTGCATGGAAGTGGTTAAGGGGAGCATAAGCAAAAGACACAGGTGAAGCTAGTTCCTAAAATGAGCAGTGGAAATAGTGCAAACAAAATTGGTTAAGATGGTAGACTAATTACCAAATAATAGCTATCTACGCAAATGAAGGCTCTTCTGAAATGGATGGTAAAAAGACGGGCAAACTGTTTTGAATTAAGGAGTAGCAAAGTGACACCAACCAAGCGACCAAACGTTGGATTGCCAGCTTTACAAAGATTATTAAGCGTCATCCTGTACATCGCTCCGAGAGAGCCACGAACTTCATGTTTAATTGAGCTCCTGACATGCTTAGCTGATCTGGCAGTAGGTCAAATGGAGTTGTGTCGAATGGATGTAGCCCGGAAACTTGAAAAAACAGTCCGACTGTCAAAACAGTGGGTAACAAAGGTAGCTATGAAGTGCGACTGCAGATCCACAGTTTTAACCACGCATAGTCTCCTCACTTAGCTGTGGAGGGCAAGGAAGTGGTTTTGCATGGTTTTCAACCCAATTCTTGCATCATCATCATCACCATTATCAATAGCAGTACATTAGCCATATGAATTGGTGCTTCGTTGCCAAACAACCATGATGACCTATGAAATAAAGAATACTATAGGTAGAAATTCGTCACACTTAGACTCACTCAGACAGCTACCAGACGCCCGGAAACGCACTGTATGCAGTGCGCATTCCATCGGACCCTGGTACGGCTCGAACCCGCAACTCGACTGCTGCCACTCTGCGGTTAAGACCACTGAGCTACGGGGGACGGCGACGACCATCGTGAAAAGGTCACTAGATGTGATATAGCGAGGCTCACTACCCACTGACTTGCACGTTACTACCGTGCAGAGGATAAGGCAGCCCCCTCACCAAGCGACGAACTTATCAAAATTAAGCCGCCAATTAGCCTATGGAATTGTAAGCAGTTTGGTCTGCGTACTGATTACAGAGGACTAGTTGGGGGGAGTTGAATGGTTAATTGGCGGCTTAAGTTTGGTAAGTTCGTCGCTTGGTGAGGGGGCTACCCTGTCATCTGCACGGTAGTAACGTGCTAATCAGTGGATAGTGAGCAGCGATACATCACATCTAGTGACTTATTCACGATGGTCCTTGCCGTCCCCCATAGCTCAGTGGTCTCAACCACGGACTGGCAACAGTCAAGTTGCGGGTTCGAGCCGTACCAGGGTCCCATGGAATGTGCACTGCTGACAATTCCCAAAGGATGAAACGCGCGTACAGTGCTTTTCCGGGTGTGTGATAGCTGTCTGAGTGAGTCCAGATGTGATGAATTTCTACCTATACCATGCAACTCCCCCCTACTACTCCTCTGTAAATAAAGAATAACAAGGGAAACAGAAAGCGGAATTACAGGAAGGCCTTAATGCTCTAAGCAAACATTCAGAGTTAAGGTGCCTACACCTTTTGTAGACAACATACTGTCACAAACAGCTGGATATCGTACAAGGATAAGGCGGCAACTTCAGGACAGCTTCTTTGCGGCTTTCACTGCCACGCGTCATAATCAACCTTTACCCCGCAGATAACTCAGCACCAAACACACTTTAAACAGGCAATCCGGCTAGGAGACGGCAGCAGACACGCCACTGGTGTCGGATGAGGGCCGTGTACTGTAAACTCTCGGGCCAAGCACATGGTGTCACGTGGACTCCAGCCCGGAAGGCGAGACGGACCAACGGCACTCAGTTTCGGAGTCAATGACTTCGTTTTCCGCTGCCAAGTCATCTACTGTCCACTTCGTTGCGCCACCCTACACCTGGTAGACTGAACAAGGCCCTCCCAGGTAAGCGGTGACCAGGCATACGTAGCACGTGTCCGAGCCAACGCAACTTATACAGTGCTCTTTGTTGTTATAAGGAGCTAGCATGATTATCACTAACTGGTGCTCGCGTATGCACATCATGGTTGCGGAAACGCCCGCGTCATCCGACTCCAGCAGTGCTTTGCAGACAACGATGATCAAAAAACTTGAAGGTGCCCCAGATCCACAGACCAAAGAGATCAGACCTCACTTTCAAAGAGTAAAACGCTTTCACTGTGGCCTTGTAAACACGGGCTTGCAAACGAAGGGAAACTCCTTTCTGCCGCCAAAGATGTCGCAGATCTAAGAAGAGGTTATTCAGAGTTGACGGTGCTGCCCCAACATTGTTAAACAGCAAGACAACATCGTCCGCATTATCAAGATCAACAAGCCTTTCACCAGACACCATCTCACCGTCTGTACCGAAAGGGAAACTGGACAAGCCTGACGAACGCCGCTTGTTATCGGAACGATATCTGATAAGTCACTATTGACCCTGACGCGGCCTTTCTTGTTTGAGTACAAAGCACCTAAAATGTACACATTTCATGGGAACACCTCGCGCAAATCTTTTGAACTGAATCGATCAACCAACTGAGTGGAAAGAACTCTTGAGGTCCAGGTACACAACTATTGTCGGCCTATGGTACGTTTGGCGCTGCTCTATCAACTGTCGCAGAGTGAATACGTGGACTATACAATCATATTCTGGGCGGAGACCTGCTTGCTATTCCCTAATCCGGGAATCCCGTTCCGCAGTAAGGCGGCGAACGAGAATTGAGGCCAGTAAGCTAACACCCCGGTGGTTACCACAGTCGGTGCGACTGCTCTTCTTGTATATTGACAATGATCGATTCACTCCAGTTAGCCGGGACGGTCCCTGCCTTCCAAACGTGTTCGAAAAGGGAAGTCAGCGTTTTCCAGAGGACCTCACCTCCATCCTTAAATAGTGCAGGTAGGAGGGAATCCTGGCCAGCAGAACGATTAGGAGCGTCGACCGAGTTCCGGACCTCGACCTCAGACAGTGCTTCTGAACTAACCGGCCATGGCTCATCCTGCACCACTTAAATAGAAAGGGGCCGCGGAACAGAAAGTAAACTGTACTGAGCTCGAAAGTGTTAGGCATAACGAGCGATATGGCGCTCCTTATTGTGTATCAGCTCACCCGCGCTGTCTCTGATTGTTTCACTGACGAATGGTTCACTGGGACCACTGGCGCACATCAGCTGGAAGAGCATGCGTCAATTACCTACTACTCGCGCCTCTTCCATTTCTTTAGCCCTACTGATCAACCAGGTTTCCTTGTCAGCACGAAGGCACAGCTTTAGTTCGCGTTTAATATTCCGTCTGGTCACATTTTGCTCAGAGCCAGCCTGAAGTTTGCTTCTAGATTCACACAGGTTCACCAACTTCACGGATACTCATTGACTGGCGAGGTGACGATAATACCATAAGCAGAGGCTCCCATTACAGCGAAGCTCAGTGTCACTAGGACAAGAGAGCGGAAGTTCGGTACATAGGGCATCCTGGTAGGCTTACCTGACTGAGGGTTGAGATAACTTCAAGGGTGGCGCTTGGTACGCCTCTCGGTAAAGGTCATGGAAAAACGACAGCGTACCAAGGCATCACCAGAGTCAACGCAAGTATTCCAGAACAAGCGACAGACCGATGTAGAACACCGCCACTTGTAACCTATGACAATGTGATATATCTGGGTCCCCCGATGGCCAGCTACAGAAGGATGTCAACTGGCACTTCAGCGACCAGTGTTTAAAAGCGATGCTACTAAGAAACAGACGGCGTCCCGGCAACACTTGAAACAGTCGCTCACCGTTGTCCGTCCGTTCGCACGTAAGCATATTATTATCATCTAGCTGAGCTTCTGAAGAGCGCAGACGAACTACTTGCGCATTCACATCCCAGAAAAGAACTACGATGCCTGAACTGGTAACACAGCGTAGTGACCTGTTCAATTCATGGCAGAAAGCGTCTTTGGCAGCATCAGAACCGCAGTCGGTGGAGGCATAAGAAGAGACCACGAACAAATAGCGTATAGTACTGCTTGTGAATCAACCTTAGTTGATGTCGTCAAATGGGCTGCATACAAACGGCTGCACACGGGAATCCAATCAACCAACGATGACTCAGCCTTGAAATAGAGAATGACGCGCAAGCCATCTTGACCAGTGATCGCCATATTAGCGTCTCCGGATGCGTGCAACCAATAGCAAGACAACGAACCGGGCACAGTTAATTCAAAAACATCGTGAGGATCATTGATCCCAGTTGCGGATACGCAACACATGCGCATACCCAGTGAGTCCAGCGTGCGTGCGAGTGCAGCCTATAGATCTATTTGTCTTAGAGTGCGAGCGTTGAATGCCTACAGGGAAACGGAACAGGGTGACCTTATAAGGGACTGTTGCCAATAGACGTCCAGTGGGTGGTGTGGGAATGTAGCTGCAAATGGTAGAACTGCAGTGTCATTACGGCCGCCGTCAATTAAACTAGCAATTATGGAAGTAAGGTTAATAATGAGGGTTGGGAGGGGAGTAAGGGAAACAGGTGGAAATGAAAGAAGGGAGGCGCCAGCAATGGCATGTTTTCGCTTATCCGCCCGGCTGTATGCGGGAGGTAAGACGATCCTTGATAAGCTGCGTGTCGGTCGATGCAGGATGTGGTCGAAGTTTGAGGAAATAGTCATGGTCGTAAGTGGACTGAGATACTGCCAGAGCGCCCAGACCTAGATATGAGGAAGATAAGGGTCCTCAAAGTTTTTGGTACAAAAGCCTGTTCGCAAAGGCAGTGGAGGTGGGCAACAATGCAGTTTTATAAAGATGGACGCCAACCTATTTCAAATCCCCAAACTGGTGGATCAGTAGACTGAGTTTGTCTCTCCTTTAACCACTGAACTACCTGGTAGGAGGAGCTCTCAAAGAACCCAAGGGCCCACCCAGTATCGCTCAATGGGCAGACGAGGTACGCAAACCGCCGCATTACGTTAAATTCTAGTCTCGTTGAAACCACGGGCAACCGAAATCAACTATAGGTATATGCCATTTGAAATATGGTCTGATTGTGAGTAGGCGAATGGCAACAATGCACTGAGCAGGAACAGCGCTCTCCTACGGCTGAAGGCAACTCGTGACGCTCAAGCTTCATGTCAAACGAACAGCTATTAATCTTGACGGATCTTCCTCATAAATAAATTCTGAGAAGAGTTGACCGATCTGTTTCAAACAACCGGTGAAGAGAAAGTTGGTACTAATTTTGTTTTATCCGTGACTACTGACTTGCCTGGTATTTAGAGAATCATAATGGCATATCGTAATGGAGCAAAGCGGAATGCAAAATACTGGACCAAACTCAGTCCAAATGACGCGACAAGGAAGACAATCAGATACGGATGACAGCTGCCAAGAGGTGAAGCTCCAGAAGAAAAGAAATCTTGCGGTGACTACATCGCAGCATTGCGAGTAGTCAAGCGAACAATATCATGGCCATGTACGAAGTGATCGCATTAGGACAGGATTTGCCACTAGAGAGCATCCCAGTAGTTTAGCTGCAGCCGGATTATCAGTTAGCTAGCACATGTACGACCGTCTCGCCCCATTGAAACTTGTCCCCCTCGAGACCCAAAGGATTCCACTTGTAAGACAATAAAGCTTATTACTGAGATATGAGCGATAGCGACAGTCCGATATGGCTGACTACCGGCAGTCTCATAGCGAGGCTTATCCCAGATTTTCATGCATGTTGCTGCCACGCCGACGATAGCATTGACTCCCAGAGGGATGAACTCACTTACCAAGTCACCACTCGGCCTATATCATCATAAGATGTCCCAGACGACCGCCAGTAGAATGAGTTCTGACGAGACTCCTCTTAGCCAGATTCAGCCTCTGAAAGTGGGAATAATCGAACTACACCACATGGAACAGAATTTGGAGAATTATATAGTGGGTTATAGGTAAGTGTTCTGTTGCAAAACACTTGTTGATTGTGGGTAGCCAAACAAGTCATCCTCAGCGGACGAGTTCAGAAAAAGTATGTTGGATGACAGCGGGCGGATAGACGTGATATCAGTGAGTGTCAACATGAGACTACCTGATAGATCTGAGGATGACTAGAATGAAGATGAGCAAATAAAAGAAATTAGTCTCCAAAGTCATGGATAGGGACAACAGCGACGACTTAATGGGAACTGTTTCAGTTAATGATAAAAATCTTTTCGTCAGCACATGACCAGAGTGGAAAGCGAAACCACAGAAACCAAACAGTGTAACGGAAAAAGCAAGCGCTGTTTAAATGGTTTGCGTTTGAATAACGCGATCCTAACCAAACCAACCTCCCCGGGCTACGACGAAGTGAAGTCTGGGTGAAGTCAATGAGTGACATGTGGGTAATAAAGAAGGGCGCTGGAGAGTCACCGATGCAGAAAGAACTGAAGACTGCATCCTTCTGCGAGTGGGTTCAGCTACGCTCGGAATGGTAGTAGAATCCAAAAAGTTTGGAAGTGAGACTAAGTTCTTGGGAAAGTGCCAGAATACAACATGAAGGTATTACCAGAAGCTTCACTCGCTTACTTTCATACAGAAAAGGAATAACTTCAAAAGAATCCGATTGTTCAACGTGTCCATAGGTCCGTCGTCTTCCGTCTTACCGCAGAACAGAGCGAAATTTGTGATGAAATCCACAGTCCTTTCGCGGCAGGGTGTTCGCTCGCTACTGACCAAACTGTAACGACACAGTTCAAAGAATTCATCGCAGAAGTGACTGAATCGTGACTGTAATGGAAAGCAGGCGGTTAGCGATCGAAGTGTGTTATGAATAGGCATAGGAATGATTATTATTGGGTTGGAAATGCTGTTGACTAATATGTGGGTTTCGAGAAGCGCATAAACAACCCAGTCGGCCGGTGGCAGAAAGGATTGCGCCGCTATGTGGTAATACTAAAGTCATCGGTCCGAATCCGAGGAGCGGGCGACCTCGCGATATACCCAGTCCTCGCGCCAATAGTGGTGGTCGCGTGGAAGCGAAGCGTCGGTAGTGTGTGCCTGTTTACTGCTGACACCTTTACACCACGCAGCGTAAGCGCACGTAGCAAGTGAACATCGATAAGCAATACCTCGTGCAATGTGACTTAAACCAGAGAGTCCTACGATAAGTGAAATAAACAAGTATAAAACGGCATGAAACCGGAGATCAATGGTTACAAATATCCTTAGGACGTCCACTATGGATAGTATATGTAACATGAAAGTTGTATGGGTTCTTTTCATCTGACTAAACTGCCAAAGACTCGTGACTTTATGGCCGAGATGACAGCCAGTCCACAGCAGTTGAACAGAGATGCTTTCACTATTCAGCAACACATTATATGGCAAAGTACTACGTCAAAAAGGCAAGTGTTACCATATTAACAGCAGGTAGAAAAGGTAATGTTTGCATCAATAAGAACTCGTGCCGCGTTGCATACCAGCACTGAAAACAGCTATTCTAAATGGATGCAAGGTAGTCAGACAACATTGAAAACTTCACATTACTTGTCCACCTGGAAAATAATATTTGATGGGGGCTAATGCCAAATGAAAAGTCTCAATGGTCAGGCGAAACCGTACAGTTCAATAGCCGTATATTTCATCTCGTTCCGTGCAGCCTCATGAAGCCGGCTTACCGATCTGACGAAAACTGAGGATGGGCCTTCAGCAGCAGATATGTAACGAAGTTGTGTACGTGGAAGCGGAAATCAGACTCGGATGGCACGGTCGTGAGATTTGTTATCATGAATCAGAGATTCGCAAATCTGCTAACGCGTGGCACTCGAAAAACCGCGACCATGGTATAATGTGAGTAAGCAATTGTGTTAAAGGTAGAAAAGGAATGCATTTGGCTCCCTACAAATGGTCGATCAAGAAGAATGTCCTTTTATGATACGTTATTCTTAGATACACGTTCCAAAAATCAGGAGTAAAAGGTACATCAATCCGCCGAATCAAACACACGCCTGATGGCAAAGGAACACGACTGCAGTGGGTAGACAATATAATCAACGGTGCTTAAGCAACTCAAGTAAGTTGATGTGACCAATAAGACCCCATTTCGACGGAATCCGATTCATGCATAGCTAAGCTGAATTAAAGGCAATGGAGATCAGACTGATACCTCCATGACTGCCGCATTCCGAACGTGTCTCCATAGGACATCAAACCCATAACCGAGTAGATCAGTCGGTTAGGACAGTTTCCTGCTTCCAGTTTCATTAGTAAATCGATTCCTACACCTTACTCATTTTTGACGGTCCGATACTTCGTTGGAATTCTGCTCCGAATGAAGAATCTAAATGGACGGCACAGGGTGCAGGACGATCGCACGCCGGTAACAAAACTAGTAGCTTCGGCCGATTAAATCACGTTTCAAAGTGATGATTTCTGCAGCTACTATCATCCAAAACCGCACTTTACGAACGGGTTCGTCCGCAATTGGACTTTTCCAGTAAAGACAGCTTGTGTTAAAAGTGGAACCCGACTCCAAAACCTAACAATACACTTTTTATAGTTTTCATCTCAACGGTACAAGCGGTTCGATAAGTTGTGGATAGGCCGCTCACTCACGTCATATATAGTTTCGCTAAAAACGGATCTCTTGCTGCCGTTTCCCGTATCAGACAGGGCGACTCCGGAAGCTTAACAAGAGTAGCTACCGTGTTCACTTCTGACGTACGATGAGACCACAGGGTTCATGGTTTCTACTCAGAGAACCACGACATTTTGTTCGGAAATTCTTGCGAGTTTCGTTGTGTACACTCCCAGCCAGAATGTGTCAGCGAACATCCGGAAGTTCCATAGACTACGGAGAGACCCTGTGCTCATGTTGGAAATCGATTTTGCCACATGAAGTCATACATACCGCAAATAACGTTTAGTGAGCATTCGAAAGCCGACTTTTGCTTGTGTTCAGGGATGTGCTTACTCAGCCGAAATGGCAGCGTGCTTTGATACGCATTAAAAGGATCTAGTTTGGCCAGTTGATAAGTGTCTATGCGTTTACAGCATGGCCGCGGATATTCACCGAAACGCACCCGCAGATCGGCAAATAAGACTGCATAGTTGAAGTCCACGCTTGTGCACCAAATTAGGCGGAAATTTGGGTGCAGTTTCTCCGATGGCAACTGATCAATTTGTGATCGATTTGCGTAAATGACTGAACACCATGTCGCTTTCTGCATTTGACGTGTCGGAAATTACTGTTTGCGAGAAACAGACAAGAACTTTCACATAGATGCAACAACCGCTTATCGTTATCATTACGGGAGTCTGCATCGCTTTGTCTGTCCAGATGAAGCTCATCTGTGGACAATGCTACAACCTGGAAGTTTAGATCACCAACCAGCGCTGCAGTATCCATGCTTTTTTGTAACGAAGGAGCTAGTTCGGTTGACGACAGAAGTCAGCCTTCACTAGTTTGTGGGGGCGTAGGGAACGATGAGAAACGGGCACCTTTTGGTTCCGCGTGCCTTCTGAGCTACGAATTGGTCAGTTAATCTGTCAGTGCACATCCCGATGTTGATTGGGATCCGATCAATTAGGACAGCTTCAGCTCGGGGGCTCAGGGCAGTACCCCCACCGGCATGATCGGCATTCAAAGCTTCATTATCTTCGGATAGACAAAATGAGAATGTACCGCCTGTGGCACATGAAGGAAATCGCAGAGTAAGCACCGAGCCCCGGTCTCGCAGACAGGTTTCCGATAAGCAACATGTGTCGATCGATAAGATCTCTAATGTTCTTGTTGACTGAGGTGCAACAAAGTGCGCACGTTGAGATATGTCAGTGATAATGAAGACAGACGGTTTCGAATTGAAGCGGATGAACTGCAGATTTCCGCTCGATTAGACATGGATTTGGCGACTAGTTCTGGGGGACACTGAGACTGCGAGTAAGACGAAAATAAAAGACTAGCAATTACCAAAGCTAAAGGAGAAGTAGCCGAAAAAATGGGGGAGGGGAAATAAGGGAGAGGAAACAACAGTTGGAGCTGGACGATGGGGATGAATAAAGGTGGAGATCTGATCAGTAGCACTTGCGCTTATATTTAGTCTGCTTGGATTTTGGGTATCCACAAAAGGAACCAGCACCCTTTTGATCATATCTCCGAGCGCCGAACCAAAATGCACCGAATTCTTATGCTAGCTGTCATAGCACTTTCACGAGCTTGTGCATTCAGTTCGTCCCGTCTTGATGTTCCATTCTCAGACTGCGGCTAGTCAGTGGGACACATTGGTAAGCTCCTACACCCGCTTCCTTTGAAGGGCATCTGTAATCCGGATCTCTCCCATGATCGTATGGGAAAGATCGCCAAGAAAGTGACTCGCTAGTAACTGTGGCTTAGAAGCGTTGTTCAGCTCCGGCAACCGGCGATAAAGCAAGACTCGGGTGTAAATAAGCCCCTGTCCCAAACCGAACAGTCTTGAGCTACTGCATCGCTTTTCGTCTGTCGGTTCGACTTTTGAAACAGGCGAGCAGTGCTTCCTCTGCGGCGACTTGTTTCATCATGATAGGACGCATTCATCCTGCCCCGGGCTGGTCTTGGGAATAATGATCATAGCTCACAGATCGCACGGTTGGCACTTAGTAAAAAGCACCGCTAATACCACGAAGTACTCCATGAATCTACGCAACATTCCCATTATCGGGCAGCTCTGGCCAGAGGGACATTGCCCTTTTCCTTGGGGAGTCATAGCATCAACTGCGGAAAGCCGAGTGGTGCGGAACTATTGTTTAGCGAAAAACATCCGCAAGATATACCAAGCACCACCTATTCCGATAGCGCTCTGTCCTGCCAAGTCTATCTTCGCCGAACGTTTGTCTCTCCTTTGCTATACGCACACCTGTAATGTCTTAGTGTATACCTTACGGCAGTTGTCTGCGACGGGCCATATTTTGTCATTTCCGGTCGATTTTTCAACTCGTGCAATGAGGAATTATATCGTCGATTAACATGGTGGTGCAACCAGTGATGATGTATGAAATAAAAGAATATTAACTGTTAACCACACCGCATGTAAGTATGTTCGGAGATTGCAACCTGTATTTGGCTCTCTAGAAAGCGTACAATCGGGCAGTTCGCTACAGGTGTCAACCTATCGGGTCATAAAATTTAACACAAGATAGAATGGCGTGCAGCAACCGGTCACCGCTTGTCCAAACGACTTCAGGGGACCATCAGTTTAAATCTTTTCTCGGCTACATGTACGCAATCGAAGATAATGAACAACAGTGTCCTCTCGTAAACTGCGAATTCTTATATTCTTATCTACCACGAAACCATCACGTCACGCGCAGGCTAAGGATACTTAGAGGGTCGCCCGGTCCACCACGCAGGCTCGAACCGGTGACCTCCGGGATGCGAGGTAGACGCCTTGTCTTTTCGGACACTGGCTCCGTGGTGCAATCAATTTCACTCGATCAAACAAGTGTACCAGTTTAGACTCAGATGAAAAAAACTTCCATTTGTAAGGTAAAACGAAACATACATGACTAAATGAGGCCTATATTTAACGTGAGGTAATGGGGGTCGCAACCTAAGAAATGAACTAAGGCACACTTTACAAGGGTAAGTAGGACCGAGTTCGACGATCCCGAGTATTTAAAAAATAGCGTAAGATTCAGCGGTACAACACAAGCTAAGCTAAGTACAGAAATTTATAATAAGAAACCATAAGACTGTAATGGACAAAGTAAAGGTTAAAATTACTTAGAGGGGTTGTACATACCTTCGAAAAATAATCCCTCAATTGCAAAAATAGTCGTGGGTGACTAAGTGAAGTTCTTTGGCACTCTTGAAATATTTTTACCATGAAAAATGGATCGTCATTTTCAACGGCTAAAAAATTAAAGTGACAAAAAAACCCACCCATTCTCAGTGCTCCCAGAGGTAAAGTGGAATAACTGGGGTAAGCTAAAGGAATAGAGAAGAAAAAGACCGGTCAATTGTTAATGCGGTCAATGTGCGCGACAGTCCAGTACAACAAAAGGAAAAGGTAAGTGAACAAGTGCGCACAGGAACAAGTGAACAGGGGTAGAGGTAGAACTAACATCATCATTCCACACGTTAGCCGCAAGGAGAAATAGCCCAGCCATTATAGCCCAATGTCATGCAGTGAAATACAGACATAAAAAAGTAATAGTCAAAAAAATAAACGAGCAGAACCGTTGTATTGGTACAGGTAATGAGATCATAATTTTAAAATAAGGCTAAGCAAGTTGTGAAAGGACAACAGAACTCGCAACACAAATGCACCAGCAATACCTAAGCTGTATGCCGTATTGACGCTTCGCTGCCAGGCAACCACCACCAGTCGCGTATGGGTCGCCCGGTCTCTCCGCGCTGCAAGGTAGACGCCTTGTACTTTCGACCACTGGCCAGCAAATACACGGGTTAGTTTTTGAAATACGTCGGCCGGTGGCCAAGTGGTCCGCGCGCCTGGCTTGCAACCACAAGGTCACCGGTTCAAATCCGCGTAGGAGCTGGCGTCCTCGCGGTATACTCAGCCCACGCGTGACTGGTGGTGGTCGCGCGGCAGTGAAGCGCCGTTAGGAAGTATAGCTGACACGTTATTTTATTACTCTGCCCTATCAGCAAATGTGCCAACCAAAACTGTTCATCGTCGTTCGGACCCCAAACCTGGCGGTCGGGAGGCTCCCATGGACGCCAAATTCGAAGTGAGGGTATTCATTCCTCTTGACCAAGTCATCGGATAGCCTCTCCTTTTCTTCCATACAGATCCCGGTAGCAAACAATGCACGTCGCGGAAGTAGGTATGTTTGTTGCGTCATACATGACAGTCATCGGAGTCTGGTGTGTGAAATAATGGTACCCAGCGGTTCACTTCGTGCGCCATAAACAAGAGGAAGAACGTGTTCATTGCACATGCTGTGCACCCATCAGATATGAGCCAAACTGCAAACGCAATAGTGGTCGGACTTAACAAACCTACCTGCGTCTGTCGATATAATAGAGCCCAGGTTTCACAGTAGAGCTGAACGGACGATTGTATTTTAGACCATGGCGTAAAGCCCGTGTAACTGCATAAAGCTTTTCTACTACTGATACCACTAACTTTCATGCTATTCTGGAAAGCATGTGGATGTGTCAAAGCATTCAGATAGCATGACTGGTTAGTTTAAGAAGGAGCTGAAGTGATTTCTAGTACCGTTGGGAAAAATGACAAAAGCTCAGCAAAAAGCTGTGCTATAAGTGGGGGCGTATTAATTGCCCCATTCACTATGCTGGTCTTGTTCACTTTTTCCCATGGAACTGTTTGTTGCCTCCATAATGTTGACCTCAAAGAAATCTAGAGTATGGCCTGCCAGCTACATTCCCACTCTTTAACCCTGAATGTACCTTAATCGAAAAGGTTCGGAGGTGTGGCTCTAAATCCGTTTCCGACCTTCGAGATTTCCCCTAGGCCTTCCGGCTTCAGCAGATGAATCTGTTCTCCATGGAATACCGCCGTTGTTGTGGAGATCTTGTCTTTATTAGGCGCATACTAAGAGGGAAAGTAGGGAACGAGCCACAGCAGCTTTTCCAGCTCAACATAGGTGGCTCGACACAGGGTCACAAGTGGAAACTATTCAAACTGAGGAGGCTCAAAGTTCGCGCCATTGTCACTGCATTCGGGTAGTGAATGATCAGAGCTATCTACCAGAGACTTATCGATGCGCCGACCGAGGCTTTTGAGCATATACATAGGTAAGTCTAAATGCGACTGCTCCGGTTCCCTGAGAACTAGTGGGTCGCGACCACGTACGTGCTCACAGCGCCCAATTAGAGGTGACGTCGCTAACAAAAGGCCTCCCTACTGCCCTCTAGAACGCAATGAACTCAATGGGAGCATAACGGCGTTTGCATCCCGGATAGGATTACTTGTACATAACGTAGCTGATAACAGAAAGCAATAAAACGGATCTCAATGAACGTAAATAAACAGAAATTAACAGGCAAGGGAATGAGACAACAGCGGATGCAAGCCAGAGGGAATGTCCAATTATCTGAACACATGTTGTAAATAAGCGGTTTAAGTTATAGTTACGGAAAATTCCGTGAATGTTCACTCAGGAGCGGATCGTTAAGCCAGGAAACGAAACACTCGAATTACACCCTGATTAATAATGATAAATAATAATGTACTAGCTGTACGCCGTAACGGCGCTTCACTGCCGCGCGACCAACACCAGTCGCGTGCGAGCTGAGTGTACCGCGAGGACGCCCACCCCTAGGCAGATTCGAACCGGGGAGTTTATGGTACACCCTGAGTAACCAATTACTACCCATATTTCTTGTACTAGCGGGCCGCATAGCATGAGTGACCGAAAATGTTTGCTGAAGTGACCGCTGGAGCGTCCTGAGTGACCGTTTTTTATGCCCCCAACCGTTCTAACTGAACACATTTGGGGCGAATTTCGGCCACATGGAATAAATTTTCCAGTACAACCTTAACATATATAGTAAACGCACTTCCTCTGGTTGCAAATGCCGTCAACAATAAGCGGAAATCGATTCCCAACATGTTAATTACACAATGCTAAGAGCGTAATGGAACCGAAAATTTTTTGGGTGGCCGAAATGTGTCCAACCAGGGCGGCTAGGGGCATAAAAGCGGTCACTCGGGGTCAAAATGGTCACTCGTGCTGACTAAAATTACGATTATATTAAGATGTAAAGACTCATGGCCGATGAAAATCGGTGGTAAAGATGTATGATGGTATTTCACAAAGATCTAGACATACTATACCGTTTGTTTTCATATTGAATTGTTTCCTCTGCGAGCGACCAAAAACACGTCGAAATGAGACGGCTGGCCGCCCATCTGTGCGGACACGGAGTCCCCGCTGTGCCCGTCATATAAAAAAGATATAGGAATGAGTTGGAAAGTAAAGAGGAAGGAAGATCATGTAGATGTAGGATAAAACCAGGGAGTGAAGGATAGCACATAATATAAGTCAAAGTAAAGAGACGGATATGGTCAAGTTCAGGTGCGACTGGAAAGATAGAAAAATCCCGTAAGTGTTGCTTCTTGAGCGGATCGTCCCTTGAAACTTACCAAATCCGTATTTTCCCCGACATCCCGTGGACTGAGCGCAGCGCATGCAGGCAACAGCTGGCACCACCCCCGACCCTGCGCCATCATAGTGCAAGCCGTTCCAGAACTGTGTGAGGCAATCTTACAACAGCCACAGCCGCATAACTGCAATTAGCGCCGGCTTCTCCAGCAGGCACTAGCCATTTTCAAGGTAACCACGACGGACGTACACCACCTACCAAGTTCTACAAGTTATACGGGAACATCCCGACGTCTTCTGAAGGTGACATTCCTCACTGGTAGCATGACAACCGATGCCCTCACCACCTGGTATGCCGAGAAAAGACGACCACAAGATGTCCGCTTGCATCTTGAGAACCCCCAGGTACCAAGGCGCACAAGCTGTCACGCACCCCAGCAGAAGCCCCCTCGGTACCTTCGCCACACCCTGTCCTAACCGCCTCTAGGTAGCCCTCCAAAGAAACAACTGTCCCATTGCCTGGAGTCTCCTGTTCCCCTACACACTCCAACCGACAGTCTTCCAAGGAAACAAATGCCGCTACCCATCTCTGCTCCGATGACCCACACCCTGCATCCATAACTTCCAGCAATCTTAACAGATCCACCAATCCAAACCAAAGAAACACTGCACTGCCGGTCATCTGTTGGCCGGTAGCACCGTAACCGCTCCCGCAGTTATTCCACAGACAATCCTCGCCTGTATTTAAACGAACGCACACAGCCTCCTACCCATAGTTCCGGAAACACAGTCCCGACTTTTGTCAAGGTTAGCAGACCTAATAGACATAACGGAAACATGGCTGTCCGACATCACCGACGGTGAAATTCAACTTCTTCACATAGCAGTCCTCCGCTTAGACCGCGCTACCCCAGGTGGCGGTGTCGCATTGTACTACGACATCTCTAATTGCATGATCATAGCAGAAACTGTTTTGTGGTGCGAGGTCCTACTAACCGATAAACACTCCTGCTATCTTGGTATTATTTATCGCTCTCTAACAACTCGTTCGGGAAGGACGCACAACTCTTGCACAACGCCCACCATACTTTATCCCACAAACACACACCTTATCATTGAGTGACTTCAACCAACCCCATCAATTTCGCTCCGTTCCGATGCCTGACCCCTATGAGTCAAGCCAAATCGATCTTCACACGGCCCCGTTGTACAACCATACCTATCAGCCGACCAGATTCCGAAACAACAACCAACCACCCCTTCTAGATCTCACCCAGACCAACGAAGAACTGATGGTTGAACACATCGACCATGATGCCCTTCTTGGGCTCAGTAATCACTGCATCCTCCGCTTAGACTTTGTAGGCTTTGCAGACAAATCCGTCAACGCGCCAACCTATGAGCAAAAGCTGGACTGAGGAAAAAAATTAAATACTCACATTTCCCCTAACAACTAGTCACTCGAACCTTACTTGAGGGCAGCGCAAGTTCTCATCCAATCCCAAATCCCTGTACAGTCACGTCAACCGCGTTAGACATGTCAAACACGGTATTAATGCGCTAACGACACCCACAGGGCTTTCAAAATCAGAGAACGAGGCTGCAAAGTCCCGTGCACACAGTACGCATCTGTATTTTCTGTTCCATCAGTCCCTACAACGATGGCGTCTTTTGCTATCTCAGTTTCAACATCCCTGACAACGATTCAGTACACTCCGGAGGTCCTGGAAAAACTCAAATCCCTACGGTCAACGGCCTCCCCAGATGCAGACGGTTTGCACCCATACGCTGCAGTTCTAGGTTTACCTCTAGCGGAACTGATCACCCATTTTTTCTCACATAGTGAAGTCCTCAGCTATTGAAAATGCGGTACCATTAGGCCAGTGAATCTAGGAAGG